AGTGAATATGACATTGTCTAGAGAATTGTTGGAGAGCAGAAAGATTTTACTACCACATTTTCTTCTTATTATCCATTACTTGACGATTTCAAGGGCGAAAATATCGACAACATCCCAATTTTGAAGATATTGATATGTACGACAGGCTGAAGTTTGAGTTTAGTTGCATTTTGATCCTCGAGTTTTTAAATTTAACATTTTAACCCTTTGGATTTGGTTTAGATTTTGGTCACCGTCACAAAAGACAGGGAACGTGTGACACTCGTGACACAAAAGGGCAAGAACTAGCAAAATGACCATAAAGTGTCCGAGGTTTCATTTATTCGATTCGTTTCCCATTCAAAATACAAGGGCAGTTTGGACAATCAACTGACTTGCAATATCTAAATAAGAAAGCATATACTATAAAGGGGAAAAAAATGAAGCCATGTATAGAAAGGGTATGGGATAAAGTTTTTACATAAACAGTAGAGCTCAAGCTCTAATGATCCCAACCTGTGGAAAAATGCATTTAATGCTACTATTGGTGCTAACCTTTAGTTTATAATGTTTGCTGTAGCCATGGTCTGTATAATTCTGCTCCCTGTACTTCAGCAATGCACCGTTCTTCGAGTTGATGCTCGAACGAACCCGGGATATAGCTGTCTCCCCTTCTCTGCTTCTGCCTTCTCGAGTTTTACTTGTACAAAATTCATTTACACTGGTTTTCCCCAGACCTACTGGCCAAAACCAGTCTAGCTATGAGATGATGAAGCCGTTGAGCTCCTTGGCCTGGTTTGAGTTTATTCGGGTTACCGACTGTCGAACACTTAGGGTGGCCTGCACACCAACCACCAGGAGTGAAGTCTCCTTTCTTTCGACCAAGCAAATCCTCGTCGATGCGATCTAGCACGGGATCATCTTGTTTGAACTTACGAGCAAAGGCAGCATTGCTTGTGAATATTTTCTCTGTGTCGTTAAGAGTTAGCGTGTGCGGATGCTGTTTCGGGGGGTTGTCCCAAGAGATGTAGTGTAAGTCGTGGTTCACCGCTGTAGTAGCGAACTCGGGCACATTGCATATGACAGTGTGAAAATAACCTTCAGGAGAGGACACAAAATTACTGTAGTACATGAGAAGAGTCCTTGGAAGATTATCCCAACCCCAAATGATGTATTCCACGAACGCACGAGATAGAACCATCCATGCCGAACCTGCAGAAGAGAGTCGTGTTATTTGATCGCTCGAAAGATTCAACGACGCAGGTCGTTGAGTGGCCGGCAATACTGATCCATACAAAGCATCTTCCTTACAAGTAAATTTTAACATTTGGGGCATGTTATAACCCCTCGAAACTAAATCTACTCGACTACTGGATGAGGAAAGAAAGAGTCCTACTACTAAGTAAAGACTAGTTCGAACTTATAACAGTTCAAGCCTACTGCTAGTAGATATTGTCCACTTTGGCCTGTTACGTATCGCCTTTAGCCTCACGGTTTTAAAACGCCATCTACTAGAGAGAGGTTTCCACACCCTTATAAGGAATGCTTCGTTTCCCTCTCAAACTGACGTGGGATCACACAATCCACCTCCTTGGGGGCCCAACGTCCTTGCTAGCACGCCGCCCGATGTCTGGCTCTCATACCATTTGCAAAAACTCAAGCCCACCACTAGCAGATATTGTCCGCTTGACTCGTTACGTATCGCTGTCAACCTCGTGATTTTAAAACGCGTCTACTGAGGAGAGATTTCCACACCCTTACAAGGAATGCTTCATTCCCCTCTCAAACCAACGTGAGATCACACAATCCACCCCTAGAGGCCCAGCATCCTCACTAGCACATTACCCAATATCTGACTCTAATACCATTTGTAACAACCCAAACCTACCACTAGCATATATTGTCCACTTTCGCCCGTTCCATATCACCATCAGCCTCACAGTTTTAAAACGCGTATATTAGGGAGAGATTTCCACACCCTTACAAGAAATGCATCGTTCCCCTCTCAAACCAACGTGAGATCACACAATCCACCCCCCTGGGGGCCCAGCATTCACGCTAGCACACCACCCAATATCTGACTTTAATACCATTTGTAACAGCCCAAACCCATCACTAGCATATATTGTCCACTTTCGCCCGTTCCATATCACCTCAACCTCACAGTTTTAAAACGTGTATACTAGAGAGAGATTTCCACACCCTTACAAGAAATGCTTCGTTCCCCTCTCAAAACGACATGGGATCACACAAAACTCCTATGCAAATCAATGACCCCAATGTACTTCCAAATACTAGGAAGATGAAGGCAAAATGAACAAAGGTTTATAGAGGAACACGAACCAGTAAACAATTTAAACGCATTAGGCAAAGTTCGAGATGGATTGACGTCGAAAATATCCGATTTGGTCTTCGAATACAGACCGGGATCTACGATCAACGGCATTGCTCGTTTTTCCCTGTAAATACAATCAAGTGAGCAAGTATAAGAACAAGTTATACAATATGGGCCAACATGAAAGAGATGAAAGAACACTATACTAACTCTTTCCACCCCAACTGGCTTGTATGCTCAAGAAAATTCAAGTTTCGATCCAAATTTTTGAACGTATAGAGAAGATCTGCAATGCAAAACCAATGAAATTTCATTAAATCAAATAAGTTCATTCCAAGTTCATAAGCTAAATGATATGAACAAACCATCTTGAGTCACAAGAGGATAATCAGAAGCACTGAGGTTGATGAACCAATCCCAGTCCCTACTCCTCTTAAGAAGGATGGCACAAGCATGAAGAGTATTAGCCACCATGGTGGGTCCTCTATAAGTAACCATATTAGCCTTGCTGATCATGAAAACATTCTGAACTTCAACAAAAAGCGACTCGTTTCTGACCCGGGAGGCCAATTCCAAGCGTTCCTCTGCCGGTGACTCGAGGTCTAAGTGGACAACATATTGATTCAAAGGGTGATACAATGCTTTAAGGAGTCTCCATAGCTTTTCCAAGTCACCCTTTGATCCAGAAATCAAATAAGCAAAACGAGGGATCGTTGGTTCGTTAAGAGGTGAAGGTCGGACGATCTTTGATTCAGCAAAAACGGCACCCGTGTTGTTTATAGTCATCATTTGAGCGGGAAAGATTGCGAAAAATGAATTGATTGTGTAAAGTGAGGAGACAAGACCAAGGTTGAATAAGGTGACAAGAAGAAATATGAACATGAGAGAGCTTAACACGAGAGGAAACATCCATTTCCTCTCCATGTTCATAGACCCCATCACAAGATCTTATCATGGATTGATATCAACTCTAGTTTCTATATATCATTCTTGACGGCAGGGTCTAGCTTATTTGCTAGTCTTTTGATAAGATCAAGGCACCAAATGACAACCCCAAGCTGTTGAAGTTTGGACCAAGACCCTTGAGAAACAAAACAAATGCAACAAATCAATAGTTCATACTTACACACAACGTTGATGAATATAACAAATATAGAAAGGCCTCAAATCAGTAAGTTCTTAAAGGAAAATAAGAACACAACCCAGAATTCTAAACCAAAACTAGATAAGAACAGCTTAAGAAACCCTAACCTGTACATTCCAAATCAGACAAGAAATGGGCGATGAAGATTGAAAATAACTTGTTCATTACAGAGAATCCATGAAGAAACAGTCTAAAAGAACGAAATGCCATAAAAATCATCCAGAACAAGAGCAACCCAGATGAACAGATCCTTAAATCATTGAACAGAAACAAAATCACAAGAATCCAAAGAAACCCATCAAAGAATCAAATCAATATGAAGAAGGGATTGAAGAAACAAACGATTTCCCCAATACCCACCAGGGGAAAATCTATTGGGAAGATGAAACAGGAATACCCAGAAGACAAAAACAATGTAAAGAAGCAAGAATCGTCCATGGGGGCAAGAGAATACGTAAAAGACAAGGAAGAAACAGGGAGAAACGCAACAAGAACACGAAGAACTAGAGAGAGAGAGAGAGAGAGAGAGAGAGAGAGAAACCTGCCGTTCTCTGTGATTGGAGCAGAACAATGGCGTTGGTGTAAGAAACAAGGAGGGAATTATAAAGAACAATGAACGGATTTAGAGAGATCGAAATTGAAACGAGGGAATAGCTTTTTTGGGCAAAAGGGGAAGGAGAAGGACAAGTGTTTGCATCACAGAGAGATTTGGGAGAGAAAAAAAAGGCAAAAAGAGAGGAAAACAGCCTTTTATGTTCTTTGGGGTTCGGATTTATTGCACCTAAGTTTGTGATTTTCCATTGTTTTTGCCTAACTTTCCATATTTTCCCCCACAATTTCCTCCCAATTGATGTGAATTTCAGCTTATCTTATAAGCTTCTGTGCATTTCAACTTTCAACAATGGCGGAATTTGGTGTTCTATCTGTTCATTTCAAAGTTCAGTTTAGATTTTCATGATCGATAGAATTAATCTCTGTTATTAATGATGAATTATCTGCAGATTTGTTTTTGTTGTTTATTGTAATCTTGGTTTAATTAATTAATTGTTAATGATATAATTAAACCAATAACATTCAATAATGTACAAGATCCAAAAGGCACATAATTATTTTACTTGAAAAAGACAAACTCTTGTTTAAAATTTTAAATTATTCAATAAATGTTTTTATTGTAATAATTGAATCTAGAACATTTTTAATTTATTCTTAATTAAATTCCAAAACAAAAATAAAATTTAAATTTAATTTAATTACGTCCATTGATTATGAATTTTGACCTACTTTTAAATTTTAAGGAATAAAACGTCAAATATGAACTAACTTATTAAATTAATAATTTCAATAGGTATTCGCCATAATTAATTATAATATTCATATAATTCAATGGCTATGTTAATATACATGCTCAAAATTCCATCATTATTTTATTAAATAATTAAAAATAAATATAATTATAAAAATTTGGATAATAAAATAAATATTTAAAAAGTCAACAAAATAGAATTTAAATTGAAATTTTTAAGTAGCTAAAATATCATGTCATTGATGACATATTGATTGGGCGGTTGGAGGATCTGAGAGATTTTATCAGATGCTGACGCGACCACTCACGCAATCGTTACACCCTACCTGTAAAGCAGTTGTTGGCCGTTGGATCTTAATCTGAGAGCTCAAATTTCATGACGTGGAACGCACGTGACTGTTGGAAACTGTTGGGCCCCACGGAGTTTTTGAGTTGCCGTCTTTTAATGCTCATCTGCCGGAAGAAGTCCAATTTTTATTTTTATTTATTTTTTTTATCCGCAATTTAAATTTAGATTTAGTTCATTAATTATTTGTTTATTCAATCATCAATCTCGATTCCATCTTGTAACACGTACTTGTTGATGTGTGTTAGTGTCTAAGCGTTATGTAGCTAGCTAGTTAGTTGTAACGACCTAGCAAATATTGTCCTTTTTGGACTTTCCCTTTCGGGCTTCCCCTTAGGGCACACGTACTTGTTGATGTGTATTAGTATCTAAGTGTCGATTTGTTATGTAGCTAGCTAGTTGTAACGACTCAGGCCCACCACTAGCCGATATTGTCCTCTTTAGACTTTCCCTTTCGGGCTTCCCCTCAAAGCTTTAAAACGCGGAGAAGGTTTCCACACCCTTATAAATGGTGATTTGTTCTCCTCCCCAACCAACGTGGGACATCACACTAGTAGTCGACCCTGATTGGAGAGACGAGATATTATCACAACAATGATCGTAGGGATAAGAAAAAGACTCTCAATCACTCGATCACTCAAAACATTCATAAGATCATAATTTTCAGATCACACGTGAGCTAGATTGGTAAAGATAAATCTAAAGGCTCAAATTTTTCTTAGCTCCTCAGCCTTAGGCGGGGCCAATCCCACGACTAATATAATCGCAGCAACAGCTTCCCGTGGAGCCTTCTATGGATTATCAGGTCTGCCCGATTACTTAGATCTAATCGATAATTTAAACATAATCTAACTAGTTCTTAGATTCCAAGAAAGATGAGACGAATCATGCTAAAACGGGCAGAGTAACCACAATACTTCAGAAGCAAAAAACTGGCATTTGGAACTCAGTTTTATTACATAGGCTTGACCAGGACAAGATTAAGAACAGCTATATATATATATATATCTTCAGTTTAAACTTCAAGCAATCACTAGCAGAGATGGGAGAAAATAGGCTAAACTTACTTGGAACAGTCTCTCAAGCTGTGATGTCTGAGAAGGAAGTGGCAGTCTGGAACCCATGATCATCAGGCAGTGGACCATTTCCTGGTCGGATTGAGATGGCCACCTGCAGCCCTGAAACGTCGTGGATTGCATTTGAATAATTATGAAACAAGTAAATCTGCAATTCTTTTGAAGCTCCATATGATAGTTTATCACAAGAACTTTGTTTCGGCCAAATGCAGTTCCGATATAGCACGAACGGGTTCTACTAATTTTTCGTCCATAAACTAACAGCAAAGAATAGCTAAAAGTAGGGAGACTCATTACCTGCTGCTTTTGCTGCTACAGCTTCCTGATAGACATCTGTGATGAACAGGATCTCTGATGGTGTATCAACTCCAAGAGACTCTGAAATCTCAACATAACTCCTTATTTCTCTTTTGTTCCTGAGATACAAGAGCAGTTCCACAATCATGGTCGTGATATCGAGTATGATTATAACATGAAAAGAACAGCAATCGGTTACCCCACAGCAGTGTCAAAGAATCCTGATAAGTATTTTCTTAGATCACCATAATTAGTCTTTCCGAATATAAGCCTTTGTGCCAACCTGCTTCCGCTCGAGTATATGTAGACCTGTTCATGCCAGAAATGATACAAGTTATTACTGGTTCGTAATGTCTGTCGGAGACTCGGAGAACTTTTGGTCAATTATCACCAGGAAGGGAAATCAATCACAAGACATCTATTATTAGACTGGTCTGTCACTACTAACCCAAATATGAAATCATCCGTCTCATCTAATAACTGAGTTTAGTCTTTCTGTCAAATGTCACATCGGTTGGAGAGGAGAATAAAGCATTATTTGTAAGAGTGTGGAAATCTCTTCCTAGCAGACGCGTATTAAAAATCTTGAGGGAAAGCTTGAAAGGGAAAGCAGGACAATATCTGCTATTGGTGGGCTTGGACCGTTACACTTTCCTAAATAGGTTGTGAGGAACACTTTGAACACATCTTGGATTGTTGAATTAAGAGAGATCGATAAATATCGTTTTTATTTTAGTAGTAATCACATCATTTCTTCATCACTTGGGTTAGAAAAAGGTCGGGGCCCCAAAGCCGAATTGACCGATGATAGTCGGTCGAAGCTCCAGTAGGTAGTCAATCCCTTCTCAGGGAACCGTACGTGATCATTCTTCCATTAAATCAAGAGGTGAGTTGGATTTTGAACATCCCGAGATAGTTTGGTCTACATCCGGTCCAGCGCGGGAGTTAGAACATTGAGAAGACCTTTTCCCAGTTAATCTCAAATAGAAACTTGTACTGATTTTAGCAAGAATCAAGAGGGGGAAGGGAACAACCTTAATGCCCAAAGCATGCCATCTCTCAAGAGCTTCTGGCACATCATCAAAAACTATTCCCTCCAATTCATTCCCTGCAAATCCTGTTCTCCATATGTGACCCTGCAAAGCTAGAAGTCAGCTCACTCAGAAAATCTGCCAAATGAATTGCAGTAAGATAAATTGAGAATCATTTTACTTGCATACTTGCAATTGTTTCAAGGCAGTTATCTTGCGGTCAGCTTTTATCATTGCTTCAACATTAGCAACCAATGCTGCAATGACTTCCTCTTTCCCAGCATTATCAGGAGGTATGGGCACAGCTCCAGCAACACCCTTTTCCAAATCTTCTTCAACCTGAAACACATTTTTATTGATAAACACTCACATCAACGACGTAATGATTCATCTGCAAAATTTAGAACTTTTGGAATTTGGTTATCCAAACATATTTTCGCTGAATCTTTGTATTGAGGAACAGAAGATTCTGAAAACAAATCCCAAATAGCCTCTCAAGTACCAAATTCTAACTGCTAACTGCCCAAGCCCAAGCCCACCGCTAACAGATATTATCCTCTTTGGGCTTTCCCTTTTGGATTTCCCCTCAAGGTTTTTAAAATGTGTCTGCTAAGGAGAGGTTTCCACACCCTTATAAAGTGTGTTTCGTTCTCCTCCCTAACCGATGTGGGATCTCACAATCCACCTCCCTTCAGGGCCCAGCGTCCTCACTGGCACTCATACCATTCTCCAATCGATGTGGGACCCCCACTAAATCTACCCCTTCGAGGCCCAACGTCCTTGCTGGCACATCACCTCATGTCCACCCCCCTTCGGGGCTCAGCCTCCTCGCTGGCACATCGCCTGGTGTCTGGCTCTGATTCTATTTCTAACAACCCAAGCCCACCGCTAGCAAATATTGTCCTTTTTGGACTTTTCCTTTTGGGCTTCCCCTCAAGGTTTTTAAAATACGTCTGCTAGGAGAAATTTTCACGCCCTTGTAAAGGGTGTTTCGTTCTCCTCCCCAACCGATGTGAGATCTCACACAAATTGAATTTAGGAGGAAATTTCTGTATCACATATTAACTCATGAACGCACAGGCTATTCCTGTTTAACTAACAATGCCCAAGTAAATACCGTAAATAGATCGTAGACATTCTACAGACTGCAACATAATCAAAATACTGTTGAACCAAAATATCTTACTTGTGAACGCAATAACTTAATGTCATCTTGAGTTTCTGCAGTTTCATACGTTAAAATCAAATGCTTTCCAACATTATCACGAGCATATGGAAAGAGAACGTCAGTAACGAAAGATATTGGTGTAGTAGTCCCTTCGATATCAAGAACTATGCAACGCTGCATCCAAAATATAAAGGAGAAATGAACCACAATTGAAAAGAAGATTCCTAACCCAGATACAAAAATGATATACCTCAAAGGTAAAGAAAAGAATGAAAAATCAAAGGCTAAAATTTTAAGCTTCCCAATTAAACAAAATGCACTTCAACTCACTGGCAATGGTTTGTTTTCATTATCTAAACCTTGGGCCCCAGCCTTCACAGAAATTTTGCTTGACATTCCTTTGATGCTCCCAAAAGGATCCTGAGTTGGAGAAGACTAATCAATGCCTAGTTGACGAAGCTTAATAGCAGCATCAAAGAGATAGTGATAACAATCAGCCTGTAAAATTAAGTTATTGATTACTGAGACCGAAAGAAAGCAAGACAGACTCGAAATCAATTTCTTAAAATTGTATAAAATCAGAGGTTTCATCATCTTCAAAGCTCAAAGGAACTTTTCGTTCGAAGGTTTCTATCGAATAAAACGGGACGATAAGAAAAAGCACATACAATGCTGAATAATTTTGAGATTTACGACGCAAAATAACAAAACAAAACCTGCTCCTAACTTAAAGTAATGCCACAGCAATAGTTATTGTTGCCGTGTTTAATAAGAAACACAAATTTGGTTGTGGTGGATGGATTTGGCAATCAAATAAGAACGAAAAAGGTTGGTCGATCATGCAAAGATCAGTGAAGTTAATGTCTCGAGGTATAGGAGACATTGCTTACATGAACATTAGCTCATTTATAGCATAACTAAGTATTTTCCATTCATCACAAGTTGATTATACTCTTATACAGGGAACTGTACCTTCATAAAAAGAGGTCCACCATCCAAACAGTACGGGAGCTTGTGAGAAAATGGCTTTGGAGGTGGTGAATATAAGATTGACCCACCATAAGATAACATGCAGGTGTCCTCCGCTACCATTCGCTCCTTCTTAACACCTGTGTATAATCAAACAAAAGCAAAAGAAAATTCATCTAAATCCGTGAACTCCAAGCCATTTATACTCTTATGCAGGGAGTTGAATTGTTTAAAAGATCCTCTTGCCAAACAAAAAATAAAGAATGTTTGGAAAAACAGGTGATCTTAGGCTAGTTCTTGATGGCGTGAACCATTAAGATCATCTTCTTCTGCAAAGAGAAGGGGAAATTGGATATCCTCCCAACAAGAACTAGTTTGAATTACAACGCCGCCTAGCCATATTCATACGCCAGTTACAAACAGCCAAAAAGAATTAAAAAGAGAAAGATGGAGAAATTCCAACCGGAATGCGACAAAGCGACTGTGTGTTGTCCCTTGGGAATGGAGTGGTCGTGAACCTTGATGGAAATGCAACCGGCGGGGCCGGAAACCAATCGGAGGCCGTAGAATTGGCGGGAAAGCTCCGCCATCAGAGCCTTCGTATGGTTTGCAGCCTTGGTGTCCACATAAGCTAGAGAAGCCGTAGCCAACTTGACTCCATTGACGGCCAGAGGTGAAGCCGTAGCCAACTTGACTCCATTGACGGCCAGAGGTGAAGCCGTAGCCAACTTGACTCCATTGACGGCCAGAGGTGAAGCCATCGCCATTTGAATGATTCAACAGAGATCAGAGAAGAAGGATAGAGAACGGATATACCTTCGCTGGCCTGTCCTTTCTTCCTCTTACTGAAAACTTTCGCTTTTTACATTTTAGTCCCCATATTTTTTACTTTTTACCATTTAATCCTTATAATTTGATTGACAGTTAAATGAAAATTTATCCAAATTTTATAATATTTTTTATTTTTGAGTTTATTAACTATTAATATTAATAATTTTATCTTCAAATAAATTATTTTAATAAAATTATTCAAAAATTGAATTATTAATTATACATTGAAGTAAATGATGATAAGATAAAAATAATAATAAATTGTAAAACATTTTAAAATATACTAAAATAAATGAAAATTGAATGTGAAAAGACCAAAACACCCTTTAACTGTATAGAGACCATGTGTCTTTGTTTATGTATAATATTATGAATTCATCACTTTCAAATTAATTAATTAATATTTTCTTTTTATTCCATTGCAGTGAAAATAAATTAGAACAAAATTAAGAGTATATTTAAGTACTTAGAAAACGAACTATATGAACTAAACTAAAAGAGCCATATTTTTTACTTCATTATCGGAACGATCTATTTCAATCGATTTTGCATACAAAGCGACCAAAAGAAGACAAGCAGTTTGTGACGAGAGACCGCAAATGTATCCGATCCATAAACCCTGCATCGTATCAAATCAACAAGAAAGTGAAGAACAAAGAATCACACCAATGTCTTTGACTACGTAGTTCTGAACATCGTGTGTAAAGTTCGTCACCTTAGCATATAATCTAAGCTTAAACCCGAGAAGGATCGATATCGATACACCGACAAAGTAGAACGTGGACAAGTTTATGTATACAGCCAAGTGCTGCCAACCATAACCTCTAGCCACCCCTGCAGTTCAATTAGACTTGTGAGAAACAAAGCAATGTTGAATGGGAATGAAGCTTTTTAGTACTGAACCTGATATGGCGCCTTGCACCGAGTCCAGCGTTATCGAGATAGCGAGCAACGGTACCATGGAAGAGAAACTGTCCGTTATTGTAACGCTGTTGCTGAAGAAGCTAGCCCAGGTGCTTTGGCCAAAGGCAAGTGCCAAAACAACTAGCAGAGGGACGAGGACAGCAAGCTTGAGAGTTACAAACATGGCAGTTCTGGCTCTGTCAAGATTGCCTGCTCCCAGCTCATTTGAGACCCTTGTGCTGCTACAAAATGCCATTTGTTTGAGAAGGAGAACTTTCAAAACAAAGGGACCGGAACCCCCCAGGTGTTTTATAGGAGTTTGAACACGAAAGTTTAAGCTGATAGATTACGATAACGGGACTATATTATTGTGTGATCTCACATCGGTTGGAAGGAAAACGAAACATTCTTTATAAAAGGTGACGAAATCTCTCCCTAGCAGACGCGTTTTAAAAACTTTAAGGGGAAACTCGAAAGAGAAAGTCCAAAGTTTAAACTACTGAGACGCAATTATTCAAACTATGTAATAACGAACCTTGCTGCAGCACTGAGACCACAAGTGATCATGTAGGCAATGGTTTCCGTGTTGTCACTAAAAAAATCAGGTACGAAAACCAAGTAAGAACAATGGAAGGATTACATTCATATCAGAAGAACATGGAAAAATAGATTTACTAACCACATTGCTATCAGTGAAGTACTTGTTTCCGGGTTCGGCATCAACCCGGCTAAAAAGACCATAATCTCGACCGCCCAATACTCCAAACTTCAATGGATTAGAACGATAGAAAGCATGAAAGGTTCATGAGTTATAAACGATATCATTGTAAGTTACATTCAAGAGGGAAAGAGGATGCTTACCACACCATTGCTGCAGATGGAAGAGCTAGTTTTAAGCTTGAAAGACTATAGGTAAAAGCTTCTGATGAAAAGCCCTGCCAAGATTTCTCGAACTTCTTTGCTTTAAGTACATATATAGCTAAGATCAGGCATGACATCCATAATGAGATCGATGTGGCCAATGGAGCTCCGTTGAAACCGAGACGTGTCCAGTGAACCAGACTGTATGCAATCGCTACGTGGATGAGCATTGGCACTGCAGAGAAGAAAATCAAAGGCATGACAACAGATTGTGTCTGAAGAAACCTCAGGATGTTCTGCAGTAAGCCATAAGCAAATAATCCTGGGATGAGAAACTTCATATACGTTGCAGATATCCTCGAAATCTCGGGTTCTTGATGGAGCAAGACTAGAATACGTTCGGTGTAAATCCACAACACTGAAACAATGATGGAACAAAAGAATGATAAGATACAAGAGCCTTGAAGATACAACCCCATCTTCCCATAAAGCTTCCTGCCAAATGCTTGCCCACAAAGCGTTTCGAGTGCGCCGCTCAGTCCCGTCTAGAGAACAAGAAGAAAGTTACAGCAAAAACAGGTACAATACTAAAACGAAAACAGATCAAGCTGAGTTATCATCATACTTAAACTCTCCCTGGAATTTAGAACACATTTTAAAAGCGCAAAGTTGAGTTTTAGTGATGCTAATGAGATTCGGACTAGGATAATCTTATCCTAATTACAAGAAAATGGGCAACAGATTTTGACATCCTCACCTTGTGATCTGCTGCCTTATGTGCCTCATAATAGTTGGATACTCCATTTCTTATATGCTATGTGCTGAAATATTGGAAATATTAGAGATTATCACAACAGATCATACCACCAAGCAGAGGGATCTTCTAATACATCGGCCTCGTATGCTTTAGATAGCAAACTCGATCCTTCAACTTTCGAGGTTGTGTCTATTTGGTCCTTACACTTTAAAACGTTTCGACCATATCAATTTGGTTGAAGCGATCGACATAAATGGCAAAAGAAAATGAAAAACTGGACAAAATAGACTAACATATTCAACATACCTTAAGGGCTCAATTGATCACATCCAGTTTCTAAACTTATCTCTCAAATCAAATCAGCTAACCACTAATCATCATTTAGCCATCAAAGTTCAACTATTAAACATGTAAATCTTTCCCTACTTTCAACAATCTTTTCAGTCATCCAATACTTTCTATTGACAAGAATTCTTGCACAATCATATGTTAATCCATTGACGAAGCAGAAATAGACAATTTCCTTCCATTTTCTGACACAAAACAACCATTTTCATTCGGATTTTGATCGAAAAAAAGCACTGAATTCCAATGATTCAAGAAGAAGAATAAAAGTGAGTTTCTAGCCGCTGTAAACTCAATTTCTTCCAATTTCTTCCAATTTTTCATCTCTTATCAGCATAAATAAAAGAGCTAAAAGATCCATTTCACCAAATCATGAAATCAGAGAGACAGAGAGAGAGAGAGGTACCATGAAAGCGAAGCCAGTGACGCTAGCCAGAGTACTAGCAAGAGTAGCAGCAGCAAGCTCGAGCTCACCAAAGTGACCAGCAAACATAACAGAGACGAGAGATATCATGTAATAGAAAACATTTGTAAGAATCAACGGAAGTGAAAATAGAAGTTGAAGCTTTGCTTCCTCCATATCCAACCCTCTCTTCCACCATCTCCATTGTTTTGCTTCGAAACCAAGCTCCAACAATGGCTCTCTTCGATCTTCCATCTTCTTCCCGCTTCTCCATTTCACACCAAACCCTGCTTTTATAGATTACGTGGGCGAGTCCTCTCTGGACGAAGCTTCAAAAAATCTCCAATAAAGCTCAAATTACCATTTTTAACATTTCTTTTATTTTATAATTCAATAATTAATTAATATTTAATTATTTTATTTACTCCACTAATTTCAAAAATAATTAAATTTTAATTGTCCATCTAATAATTCTGATTAAAATTAAAAGTTCCAATTATATAATAATTACAAAATCTAAAGTTTGGAAACTTGTTGAATTAAAAATATAAAGTAGAGGGCTAAAATGGTAATTTAACAATTTTTTAAATATGGAATAAATTAAGTATGAATTTTGTATTTTGTCTAAAAAAAATATATTTTTTTTATTTCTAAAAGCTTTAGAAAAAATATTTAAAAATAATTTAATTTTTATTTTTTTAGTATTTTATTTATAAAAAAAAATTAAATTTTAAAAGTGTTTAAAAAATATTTCAAAATTTTTATTAATAACTTTAATTTTTTTAAAAAAATTGCTATATTTTAAAAATACCCATAACACAAATAATCTTAATATTATGAGATTTTGGTTTTTATTTTCCATAATCAAAATAAAATATTTGAATTTCTCGTTAAATTTTAAAAATTGACGTTTAATTTTTAAAATAAAAAAAAATATAATTATTATATTCTAAATATCTTGATTTTTTTCTCTATTTTGTAATTTGTTGTTTTTATTAATTCCAGAATAGATTGTTATAATTGGAATCATAAATTATATTATTAATTCCCTTATTTAATTAAAAAAAATTAGTGTAAATTAAGCAAAATTTAGAGAGGGAATGATTATAAAATCTAATTTAAAACGTTTTAAATAATATTTATTAATTTAAAAACAAAAATACTAAAATATATATATATATATATATATATATATATATATATATATTATCTTAAAAAATATTATTAAAATTTAAAAAAGGATAACGTTAATATTTTATTTAAAATTTATAACTTTTTAAAAAATGAAAATATAAAAAAATTCAATAATTTATTTTTAAGTTAATTATTTTCCACCTCATAATAACTTTAAATAATTATAGAGTTTTTAATTTAAATTTAAATCTTTTATAGAAAGTAAACCCCATCATACCTCTTCTTAAAATTTGGTGGGCGTTAAGGTGGGACCCACAATAATATTGCTAAAATTTAATTATTTTTTTATGTATATTTAAATCGATAAATTTATTACCAATCGAATTTATTTATACTACAAAAATGTGTTGTAATCGACCTTAGTGATTTGACGGTGCCGAGTGGAAGGGTTGTTGCTCAATGGATAAAAGTTACTCTAAGGATAATAGGCTGATCTTCCCCAAGAGCTCACATCGACGAGAAGGTTTGGCACCTCGATGTTAGCTCTTCGCCACCTGGGGTTGTAGTATGTTACAAGAAAGTTGTCCGACATTTAAATAAGTTTCTTCTTGTTTCAAGCGTATGGACGATATTCTCGAGACGATGTTGCTATTCGAACTCGAATCGACGAAGAACAGGAGTTTTGGTTCCTTTTACATCTATTCCTTCCCACTTTCCTCTAAATGTTAGCAGCAAAAGGGCAATAGTTTGGCAGGCAAGGCCACAAGTTAAGCCAATCCATAAGCCCTGCACAAAGCAATCAAAGCTTTCATAACCACATCACATGCTTACTCTTCTGTGTGCTAGCTAGCAAATCATTTACCTTGGCGTATAGCTTCGAATGAAAACCAAGAACGGCCGACGTCGTGAGCCCGACGACGTAGAACGTCGGGAGGCTTATGTAAGTAGCCAAATGCTGCCAGCCACAGCCCCTTGCCGCGCCTGCATTGGAATCGAGCATATCGAGCATATCAGAAAGAAAGCATTAGTTTAGTTAGGAAGCAAATGGAGAGGAATGGCCTTATTTGTACCTGATACCACTCCTTGTACTGAATCCAAGAGTATTGACACCAGAAGAAAAGGGACCATTGAAGCAAATTCCTTCTCTATCTTAGGACTATTACTGAAGAAGCTAGACCAGATACTATGCCCAAATCCTAACGCTAGAAGAACCACGAGCGTGAGGAGGAGAGATAGCTCAAGAGACACGAACATAGCTCTCTTAGCTTTGCTAGAATTGCCTGCTCCGAGCTCGTTCGCCACCCTTGTGCTGACACGAGTATTGCTCTTGGCTTATTTTCAGTCTTGCAGAGAACAGAACACAACAAAATGAATGCTAATCTCTAGTTGCATACCTTGTAGCAGCGCTTAGGCCGTACGTGATAGTGAAGGCGATACATTCGGTATTGTCGCTGTAGTATTGGAAGATCGAATCGATTCATACGAATGAGTAAAAGGGAGTTTTTATGTCATAGAAACAGTGTAAGAGTAGAGATAAGTACCACATTGCAATTAGTGAGGTAGTTATTTCTGAGTCTGGCATCACCCCAGCTAAGAACACCAAAATTTCAAAGGCCCAGTACTCCAAACTAGATGAATTTTAAGCAGCAAAAGGGTAAGATATTAAGGTATTCCAATACTTGAAGCTCCTTACAGATCACCTATGGGATCATGTCGAGGATTGTTGGGAGGTGATCATGGATTTATAAGTAAGGAATACATCTCTACGAGTATGAAGCCTTTTGGGAAAACCAAAGGTAAAGTCATGAGAGCTAATGCTCAAAGTTGACAATTTCATACTACTGTGGAGAGTCGTTATTCCTAACATGGTATTAGAGTCATGCCCTTAACTTAGCCATGTCAATAGAATCCTCAAATGTCGAACAAAGAAGTTGTGAGCCTCGAAGGTGTAGTCAAAAGTGACTCAAGTGTCGAATAAATGGTGTACTTTGTTCGTGGGCCCCAAAGAAGGAGCCGAGCCTCAATTAAGGGGAGACTGTTTGAGGGTTCCATAGGCCTCAGTGGAGGCTCTATGGTGTAGATCATGGATTTATAAGTAAGGAATACATTTCATTGGTACAAGACCTTTTGGGAAAACCAAAAGTAAAGTCATGAGAGCTATATCATACAATTGTGGAGGTTCGTTATTCCTAATATGGTATGAGAGCCATATCTTTAACTTAGTCATGTCAATAGAATCCTCAAGTGTCAAACAAATAAGTTGTGAGTGTCGAAAGTGCCTGTCAAAAGTGACACAAAGGGTGTAGTTTGTTCGAGGACTCCAGAGAAAGAGCTGAACCTCGATTAAGAGGAGGCTATTCGAGGGCTCCATAGGCCTCGGGGGAGGCTCTATAGTGTATTTTGTTCGAGGGGAGGATTGTTGCGGATGGTTAAGAGGGAGTCTCACCTTGGCTAATTAAGAGAATGATCATGGGTTTATAAGCAAGAAATACATCTCCATTGGTACGAGACCTTTTGGAAAAACCAAAACTAAAGCCATGAGAGCTAATATTCAAAGTGAACAATATCACATCAGTATAGCTTCGTGATTCCTAACAGATTATAGTTCACAACGATAGAGAGTCAAGGGTGCGTACCAAACCATTGCTGCAGACGGGATGGCTAGTTCGAGCGTCATGAGAAAGTAGCTCAAAGATTCAGACGAAAATCCTTCCCATGTTTGCTCAAACTTGTTTGTCTTAAACATATATGTCCCCAACATCAGGCAAGATATCCACAAGGAAATGGAACCTGCCAAGGCAGGTCCCCTGATTCCAAGACACGTCCAATTCACCAAAGCATATGCTATACAAATGTGGATGAACATAGGCACAGCTGAGAAGACAACCAAGGGCTCAACAATAGACTGAGTTTGAAGAAATCTCAGAAGGTTTTGCAGAAGTCCATGAGCAAATAAGCCTGGAATTAGAAACTTGACATAGGTAGCAGCAAGTCTTGATATGGCAGGGTCTTGATGGAGTAAAATAAGGAGAGACTCGGTGTAGTACCATAAGACAGATAAGATAACAAAGAAGAACAAGGACACAATGCAAGAGGCTTGCAGATATAAGCCCAGCTTCCCATATTGTTTGGCACCAAACGCTTGGCCACAAAGTGTCTCTAGTGCTCCACTAAGTCCAATCTGCTCAAGAGAATCGAATCAAATAGCTTAGAATTCAGAGAAGCAAAAGAATCAGTGTAATCTTATAGAGAGAAGCTTCAAATCAAGAGTTTAGCCAGACTTTTTGGGACTAAGAAAGCTTAGGCTTAGCTAAGCCTGTGGACAACCAACAGCCCTGCCCTTAGCTTGATCCTTCGTTCGCTACTTTGCTTATGTTAGGAATAACGACTCTCCACGATGGTATGATATTGTCCACTTTGAGTATTAAACTCTCGTGGCTTTGCTTTGGGCTTCCCCAAAAGATCTCGTACCAATGGCGATGTATTCCTTACTTATAGGACTCCCTCCCAACAATCCCCCCTGAACAAAGTACACTATAGAGCCTTCCCTGAGGCCTGTGGAGCCCTCGAACAGTCTCCTCTTAATCGAGGCTCGACTCCTTTTTTGGCGTTCTCGAACAAAGTACACCCTTTGTTCAACACTTGAGTCACTTTTGACTGCACCTTCGAGGCTCACAACTTCTTTGTTCGACATTTGAGGATTCTATTGATATGGCTAAGTTGTGAAGATGGCTCTGATACCATGTTAGGAATAACGATTCTCTACAATGGTATGATATTGTTCACTTTAAAAATAAGCTCTCATGACTTTGCTTTGGACTTTTGGTATCATTCCAATACCAAAATCAGAACAAATCACAATATCAAAGATGAACTATAAATTGTGCAAGAACTGATAGAACATTAACTAAAAAACCCTCCAAAAGCAGTCTCCAATCTTCAAAAAAAAAAAAACCCATCTACTTCCAAGCTGTTTTGAACACATTGGTCTCATGAACATCAAAAATCGACAACAAAAGGTCTAAGAAGTTACCATGAAAGCAAATCCAGAGACGGTGGCCCAGGAGTTGCCAAGAGTTGCACCGGCGAGCTCGAGGTCACCAAGATGACCGGCGAACATGGCGGAAATTAAAGGTATTAAGTAATAGGAAGCATTAGTAACAATCATGGGAAGCGAAAACAAGAACTGGGTCTTGGCCTCGTCAACGTCAATGACTCTGTTCCACCACCGGACTCTCCCCTTAGCCTCGTCTTCGCCGGCATGACGAAGGTGCTGCAGCAATGGCGCGTTTTGAGCCTCCATTTTGGAGCTCGGTAGCGCCCCTGTTCCTACAGAGACAAAGGGTCAAAGACTCAGAGATCAATTTTGATTCAAACACAGAGCAGGAAAAGGTTAAAACAGCTTGCGATTGCAGGTGCGTGGGAAACTTATTGCTATTATTTTAAGCTATCCTTGGCTCAGTCATCTCTTGAATATTGGCTCCATGTGGGTGTCTCCGATTCTTCGCCATTGTCAGCATCTAAAGCTTCTCTGTTCTTGAACCCTTCACCCTCCATCAATATCTTGATGAATTTCAATGAACCCATTGTTTAAAATAGCTTCAAACTCCGAATCGAAACCCAAATGCACGAGGATCCATACAGCTTCGAATCCAACTCAGTATGGGTAACGAAAGAATCCAAAGCGGAAGAGACTAGGCGCCACCGTCGTTGTAATCAAGCATGAACATGCATGAGCAAATAGGGTGAGATTGGGTGTTAAAATTTGATCCAACTGCAAATTGCAAAAACCAGCTGCGTCATTAAACACTCTCCAAGAACTAGAAATATATTTATAAAATAAAATTTAAAAAAAAAAAAATCACTACCATTTATGAAACTATTGTTTTTATTATTATATAACCAAATCCAATAAAAATTAATTTGAAAGGACTAAATTTCAATTTTATAGAAAATAGAGGGACTAAAGGTAAATTAAAATTTTTATTTTTTATTAGTTTTAAATGACCCAAATTTTCATAAATACCCTTAAAACTTTTACAAAATTTCAAAATATTCTTAGAATCAATATATAAATAAAATAAATAAAACCGTACTACTGCTACATTTCATACATATCCATGAACTTTTAAAAATAGCAATAATACTATTTTAACTTTTAAAATAATTTTAAAAACTTTTTTATATTAATAAATGAACATAACAAAAATCATCTATCTACTATGTCCTAGATATTTAAAAAATTATGTAAACGTACCATACTTGGATTTGGTATCACCGTGATAAACAAAATTATGTATCATTGTGAGAATTATGTATCACCGTCCGAACAAAAATTATGTACCACCGTGATAAACAAACATCCAAATCATTTATCTACGTCACGTCTATGTCCAAGATATTTAAAAATTTAATGTGTTAGGCTTGGTATTGTGAGTTTGGTACCAAATAAATGCCAACTTCAAAATTTCAAACGTAAATGAAGTAGCAGTTTATTGAGACAGTATAAGAGAGTATTGAGAGCAGGATCATCCATGTCACATATTTATCTTATAGACTCGAATGAATCAAAGTCGAGATTTAGATTTTTCTGGTTTTGGTAATTTACGGTAACCGTATACGCCTAATCCTCGCTTTCTTCCGAGGCGACCAGCGTCGACATACTGCACGAGAAGAGGGCAGGGAGCATATTTATCATCACCAAGTCCAGAGTGAAGTACCTTCATGATTGATAAACAAACATCCAAACCAATTAAGTCTGCAAGCTCCAAGGGACCCATGGGATGGTTTGTTCCTAGCTTCATTCCTGTGTCGATGTCTTCCTTCGTTGCCACTCCCGTGTAGAGAGCGAAAAACGCCTCGTTAATCATTGGCATTAGGATTCTGTTCACAATGAAGCCGGAGTAGTCCTGAGAGCATATCAATGTTTTGCCAAGCCTGAAAGGAAAGAAAGTTAAAACTATTATTTGTTCTCGGCACATGTTCGTTCGAGGCACATACGCAACGATATAGTGAGAGTTGTTAGTTATGACTACGCTTAGCCAACTCATGTACTAAGTGCAGTAGTCCCATGTTACTAGAAAGAAAACAGATGGTAGAGGAGGGACAGAGGGGCGGAGGCGAATTTAAGAGCAATCGACGAAGTGAATCACCTCTCAGCTAAGGTTTTTATTGCATGAAACGTTTCATCGGATGTATCCGCACCTCGAACAATCTCAACCAACTTCATTATAGGTGGTGGATTCATGAAATGCATGCCAATAACCTGCAATGGCGTTAAACGTTTAGTAAATTAGTTCTTCGTTTCTGTTTCATATAATGCATGCTAAAATCACATAACAACGCGTTTTATCGCCGAATCACATGGCTAGCTATTAAAACTACGTACAAATGGCACTTTAAAAGAAAAACAGAAGTTCAGCATTCATGCAAGGGTGGGAAGAGAGGACAAAACCTTCTCGGGACGTGTGGTCGACGATGCTAAGCGAGTGATGGGGATGGAACTTGTATTAGAAGCTAGAATTGCAGATGGTTTTGCAATCTTATCCAATTCAAGAAATAGCTTTCTTTTAACATCTTCTGATTCCACGATAGCTTCTATGATGACATCTGCTGAATGAAGCTCTTTCAAATCAGTTGAACATTTTAGACGTTGAAGAACATCGACACCAACTTCCTGTAAAGTGGATTTCATAAGCTGATTAAATGTCTACAATTTCAACGGCAGAGAGAAGCTCATTTGGCCGGTAGAACTTCTCTGTTATAGATTTGTATGTCAACCTTTCCATAATCAATGTCAAACCCGCAGTAAATAACTCGGTTTATATAACAGCCCAAGCCCACCGCTAGTAGATATTGTCCGATTTAGCCCATTACGTATCATCGTTAGCCTCACAGTTTTAAAACGCGTCTACTAGGGAGAGGTTTCCACATCCTTATAAGAAAATGCTTTGTTCCTCTCTCCAACCGATGTGGGATCTCACAATCCACCTCCCTTGGGAGCACAGATTCCTCGTTGGCACACCCCCCGGTGCCTGGCTCTAATACCTTTTGCAACAGCTCAAGCCCACAGCTAACAAATATTGTCCGCTTTGGTCCGTAACGTATTGCCGTTAGCCTCACGGTAGGAAGAGGTTTCCACACCCTTATAAGGAATGTTTCGTTCCCCTCTCCAACCGATTCGAAATCTCATAGTTTAACTTCGGATCAAATGGTCAATGGGGATAAAACATTTATTTTGCATCATAGGCCATAGGCTAGAGCAAAATATTGTACGTGCCAGAATTTGAAAGGACATCAAAAAGGATATTTTATTAGTCTAAGTACTAAAAGAGATAGAAATACAAAGATTAAATAAACATTCAAGAGGCACAGTTCTATATCCCACACTACCCAAATACTTGCTTAACCCCTAGCCAAACATACACACACACAGACAAAAGAAAACCTCTATTTAAGGCATCCAATGGCTTCTAAAAGCCTGCAAGTCTTATTGTTTAAAGCTAAAGGTTGAAGCTGCTATAAGAAAATCATCATCTCGTGGCTTCTTCATAAGCTATAGAGAAGCTCATCAGTGTCCACTTTTGTTTCATTGGCTCCCTCCAATCAAATCCAATTCCTCTATGATCCTGTGTCATTTGGATAAGTCTATTTTTAAGTTCAATTATTGATCTACAGCTTTGGCTCAAGATCACACTATTTTTCATGTTTGGTACCATCACTGCCATCCAAACGCACAGTCGTCGTGACAGGATCGAGATTATGGACCAAATTTTCCTAGTCCTTCAGTATGGAATGACCCAAGAATATCATGAGCTGAAATTACAGAGACATGGGATCTGGCAAGGATTCTCTTGTTTTTCTTTTTCCTAAAGCAGTGGATCGGTGTTATCCTGATTAGAAAGGGTACTGATGGGGCCAAGAGAGTCTCAACCTCCTAATGCTACAGATTGATCATAAGTAAACAACCAAATAGCACTAAATCCTGCGTTTTTCACCTAAATCAAGTGCATGTTTGAGAGCTTTCAAAATCACTCGAAATAATATTCTTATGATTCAAAAATCAGTTTTAATCGTATCAAAATCGTGTTTAAAAGTCTAAAATCAAACATTAAACTAGTTTCGAATTGATTTTTTACTTGACAAAAACTATTTCAAACATTTCAAAGTCAGTCTGTAACATGTCCTACACCTTGTGATTCCCTGCAATTGGTCTGTTAAGAGCTTTTATGATGAAATAAACAACAGAAAACTCCAAATAAAAGGTAAATCAAAAGGTAAAATAGCCAGTTCAGAAGAACTATGTCAGAGTAAATTATAGGGCAAACATCATATATATATATATATATATATATATTCTTCCCATGTATACGGATCTGGAAATACAGAATTCTTACTCGAGAGAGAATGTTTCTGGAGACCAGGCGTTGGATTGAGGAAGAAATGGAGTTGGTTGCTTTAGTAAGAGCGGCAGGGTCTGAATCGATTAGCCAAACATCGTGGCCGTATGCGGCGGCGAGTTGGGCAATTCCGGAGCCCATTTGACCGCCGCCTACGACACCAATAACCTTGATTTCCGTCATCGAGAAACCACAAATCTAGCGGCGATTACTGTAATCGGAAAAAGAATCATCCTGTGGAATTCATCCCTGTCAGGCTTTTATCAAAAAAAATTGGATAAAGACGAAAAGATATAACATGGATAAACACGAAAAAGATCATTTCGCATATTATCAACGATGAACACGACTTTACATTGTCCAATTTGAACATAAACTCGGATCATATCCCATAAACTCTAATTAAATTTTTAATTATCTATAAGTCTCATCTCAAAATGAATTATTAGATAAATTTATATATATATAAAATTTATCTCAATTTTTTTAAATTTTTTTAATAATTAGTTTAATATTATATTTAAAAAAAATACGTTTTAAATTATAAAAGAAATAAAAATTATTTTCAAAATACTTATTAATATTCAATATGAAAAATTGTAAATATATTTTCAATTCCTTTATTTTACATTAAAATATTTATATAAATATAATGATTTGAAATTGATAGTATTTCAAATATAGTATAAAATAAAATATTTGATAAAGTGGTATTTAAGCAAATTAATGACATTTAAGAATTACCGAACTCCAATGGTAGGACAATAAATATATATTATGGTTTAATTAAACCACAAATTTATTATTTTAATACAGAAATAAAACTTATGTTTGGGCCCAAAAATTAAAACAAGGCCCATTAAAAAAATTGGTTAAAAAACGGTTTATTTCTTTTTATTATTATTTATTTATTTATTTATTTAGATTATTCAATTCAATTTTAGAAAAATTTATAAATTTAATTTAGTTGGCACGGACAACATTATATTACTGAGTTTAATATAAATATATTTTTGTTATTTAAATTTAAATTTTTAGAAATTATGTTGGGTATAATATTATATATATTTTTGCTTACTAAATGTATTGATTTGTTGAGATTTTTTTTTACAGAATAATAAACGAAAAAAATTCTCCACAGGAACCGATCCTCACAAGGTCTTCGTGGGGAATCTTCGCTCCATTCCCATAAAAATAAAAGAAAATTTTTGCGGAAATAGGAAATGAAATAGGTGATGAAGACGGGTGCCCCTCATTGTGGGTATCTCTATCGACAATCATTATAAACTCTTACAAACTTGAAAGCATCGAGAATAAATCGTTAAGAGCTAAATTGCATGACCGAACAAATGTTTTTAACAATATCGTATATATTTTTATTTTTTATTTTAAATATTTTTATATAATAAAATAATTTCTAATTTAGTTGGATTGTTACCCCCACTAGGGAGTTCTTTTCAACTCCATCCAACCAATATTTTGACAAAAAAAAAAAAAAAAAATTACTCCAATAATGATGAAAAGATAGAGGCATTATGGTGGTAGTGAACTTTATAGTAAATTTAATATTGGTAGGTAAATGTTGCTGTCACTCATAATCCTAAGTTGAAAATACCATAACCTCTTTTAATAATTATCACATATCTCGTATTATAATCTTACTCTTTAATCCCTATATTCATTTCTTATTTGGTCCTTAAACTTTAAATTTTTTACTTTACGCCTTTCATTTCTGATACCATTTATAAGGTTCCGTCTCCATTTCCAAGATTCATATTAGGATTTGAAATATGGATTCACCTATGCTCGTGTCATTCCCTTGCATCCCCTATGACATGATCACATTATTGATCTTTTTCAACATGTTTTGTCCTCACTCACATGTTTCATAGGAAATTTTTCAACGGATCACACAACATATAATTACTCTAGACAAAATATATTTAATTACCGAAAAGAAATGTGTATCTTTCAAGTATTTTTGGGATCGCTCTCATTCGAATGTGGTATTGGTTCATTCATGTACCCTTCATTTTCTCGAGTGTCATATTTTATTTTAGTGGCTCGGTAAAATTAAAAATTTACGAGAAACCCATGGTAGTTTTTTTTAATTAAATTGTAAAATGAAAGGAAATAGGGAATGGATTAAGTTGGAAATGGAAAATGAGGGGTAGGGCATTTTATGTCAAAAGGTTGAATGATGAACAATGATAAGAAAGGAATAGTTGGTAGAGAAGTAAATAAAGAAGAGTCAAGTGGAAAGTGGGGGTGGCACATACCATAAGTGCCTAACTTTCATCAATTTCTTTCTCCCATGCCTTTCTCACTGTGATCATGCCCATAATTGCCCTTCGCCCAAAATCGACTCTTCGGGATTACATGATGAACATGACTGTCTTCAAAACTGTCTACCAAACAACATTAAAATATAAAAGAAGTAACGTATTGAAACAAATCAAAACAGACTCATATCAATTAGTGCTCGAACGATCTTTGGTGGGTATTTAAATTTTTACCATATACGTACTGAAAATATGCCAAGTTATTTATAGTGGCACCGTAAAAGCTAGCTACACGTTAATATTAACACAACCCATTTTCTACATTAAAATAAAATGATGGAGAAATTCATTGTAGCAACAAACATGTCTAATTCTAGTTAATTTTTATTAGTAATATGAGCTTAGGTAATGAAATTTAAGGTAATTATTAATTTATTAATTTATATAACCCATTATTTATTTTATGGTTAAATAAATAAAAAATGGATTTTTGTCTTAAAAAAAACTCTAATTTATTTAATCCAAAAAACTTTTTGGCAAAAGTTGATATAATATTAATTTAATGTGGAAATAAAATAAAATTAGAAATTAAAAATAATGATGAGAGAGAGAGATGGTTTCGGCGAGGTCACATGAAGAGAGAGAAAGTCGAGTTTTATAATTAAAGGAAATTATAAAATAAAATAAAAAAAAAAAAAAAAAAAAAAAAAAAAAAAAAAAAAAAAAAAAAAAAAAAAAAAAAAAA